ACAGCAGGACAGTCACAAGGACTGGGGCTAGCACCCCCGGGGTTAGAACTAATTTTCACATTTAGCCTTTCTACTCTGCTTCTGCCACGTACCTAGAACTAACTTCCGCATTCCGCTTCTGTATCACGCTTTGCTATGTAGACAGGAAGACCCGGTAGACTATATAAACCCCCAAAATTCTTTGTTTGGGGCTCAGAATTTGGAGACTGACTCCTCTGAACCCCTGCACGTTAATAAACCTCATACTCCAGAATCCCTCAGTGTCTGGTTGCTTCATTTTCCTGTAACAACGGTACCAGCAGCCTGGAAAAATGGATGTGTGCTCTTTTCCTGATTTACGGTACCCGGAGTTAGGACAGGGGGAGAAGAGAGTTCTGTGCTGTGTGTGCGTGTGTAGATATATACCCTAAAGGACTTTAATATTTTAATGGGGATATTGGGTCACTACTTTAAGTCTGTACAGCTTTAAATAAACCTTTCCTTTCCTTTTCACAAATCTCTGGCATTGAGAGATGTCTTTCCTCTGGCAGCGGACAATTGAGCCCAGTAGGTATTAGTATACCGTTCTTGGGAGGGGCCCCTGTTGTTCTGGAGCAGTTTTTGGCATCCCTCAGTGGGCCAGATACTGCCCCCAACCCCTCAGACCTCTGTTTCATAACACAGTTGCTGGGGATTCTGGATTCAGTGTGTTAGCTCGAGCATTTGGGAGTGGTTTCAACAATTTAAGTGGTTAGTTGGTTAAAATTTGGATTCATTGGTGGTCTATATTCAACAAAATTAAGATGTCAAACCCTCCCAGTGTAACACAGACAAAGGAATTTAAATAAAGGCTAAGGAAGAGAGAAATGTTGAAATGAACAGAAAGGTTAAACACGTGCCACCATGCCCCTCTCCCCAAACACACACCCTGAGCGGGCCCAGAGGATACTCCCTTTGCTGTGTGTACACACTGTGGAATGTCTCAGATGTTATTCCACTTACACAGTTATGTACATTATGTTTGTGAATACGGCAGGAACACATGGCCCTTGGGCCAGGGAAAATAGCTCTTCTTCATTGATACATACAGATCAACAGCCAGAGTAACATTGCAGCACTCGTATTCAATGCCCTATACCTTAATCCTACAGGTGGGGCAATGAGAGCTGATGAGAACTTTCTATGTCATAACAGGTTATACCCTATAGACAAAAATTGGAGGTCAACGGGTTTTCTCTTTGTCAAGAGAAGGATGGTCATTCCTCTCCTCTCCCTAAAGGACAGAGAAAAAAATTTAACTCCTTGGAGTCTGCACATAAGGGTCCTTGGTCTCACCCTAACCTTTTGGAAGGTAAATACGTCTTTTCAATAACCTGATCTATCTATCTATCTATCATCTATCTAAAACTTGCTGTTATAACCCAGAGATGGCTCCAGATTCTAGGCTTCACCCCTTTTGATGTGCAAATTCCTAAGGGGGTAGTGCTTCAGTTTTGCCAATGCCTTGGGGCTTAGTCAAAGGCAGCATTCTGGGCTGTAATCATCTGGTCCTTCTGAGGAAAAAAGAGTTTTGTTACTCTCCAGATTAGAACTGTTAACTGGACAAATGGCTCTTGGAATGAAAATTATTTCTAAAGGAAGTGAAAAAATCTTCATCTTTGTATTGTACAGTTGTGTGTGTGTATTTTAATAGGCTAGTGTTTTTTTGCAGAAGCACCAAAATATTCAAACATTTTATTTTCCACAGTATTGCGCTGAGAAATGTGAGTGGGAACATCAGCATTCTTGAAAAGCTGAACGAAAAGAAAAATGAATGTTCTCCATAAAGAAATAACAGTGGATGAGGTTACCATCAAGGTGGGCTTTCTGGTTTCAATGGAATATTGGATATGAGAGCCAACTTTACTGTCAGAATCAAAGTGGCACACGTGTCATAATGGACAACAGGGATGAAGTGTTATCAGAAGGTTTTGACCCACAGGGATTTTAGGTGATGGCTAATAGTTCACATTGTCCCTAGAAATAAAAAAAGATGACAGCTTATTTAAATATTACAAGAGAAACTCTAGGTTTGGGTCAGAGACTGAGTGGTGACACAGTCTCTCACCCAGTTTCTAGAACTGTCAGTTATTAGACCTGGAGCCCTTGATGAAGAAGAGGCCAGGTCACCTTGAGAAAGACCCAGAAACACTGCCATAAGTTAATGCTGTGTTTCTTCCTCCGAGCCTTCCCTAGTAATGGTCCCCTGTGACCATTACTAGAAGTATTACACATCTAGAAAGAGAAATATCCAGCTCCATTACCTGTATATTTTATAGATTAGTAGATAGATACTGGCTCTGACTTGCTGTGAATTCTGGGAGATCTAATATACCACTATGCTGTAGTTCAAAGGGCTTCTAGTAGTAAATTGAGTTTGTAACCAGGTCATCTCACTGTGATTGTAACAGGGCACAGCCAAGAGGGCCCCCCACCCCCAAAAAAAGGATTTGGAATAGGGTCCAGAACTCAAGGTTGTCCAGGAAATATTAAGATGTCTTCACCCCTCACCCCCCACAACAGGTGTCAGTTGGGGGGAAGGGACAAATGGAGCAGGGCCATTGAGAGTTGTTTTGCATAGCAACAGTTTTGCAGATAGCCTCTAGAATGGTCATTTAACATATCTATAACCTTTAACTGGTTTCATAGATATGTTAAATAGCTGTGGCCTTGCTTTGAGCCAGGGAGAAGAGAGTGACTTCCACCCAGGATGTAATTAGGAGGCAACACCCCCTGGTTACAGCGCCTGCGTGAGAGCTTGGTGTTGATTGGCTCCATGCCATGGAGCCACACCTGCCCAGACTCACTATGGCAGCCCAGTAAAGCTGGGAGGATATGGGAGTCCTGGCAGGTGTAACCAATTGTAGGAGGAGTCGGAAATGGGGCTGCAAAGGAAGACTGGCACAGGGATTTAAAAGCAGTTGTGGAAGCCACTGGGGAGAGCCACACAGTTGGGAAGAGTTGAGGATCCTCTCTTGCCCAAGTGAGGAGAGAAAGCCATGCGGTTTTGGCAGAGTGATGACCTCTTCTTGGCCATGTGGGGGGAGAACCACAAGATTTTGGCCAGAATGGGGACTCCCACAGCTATGTGAGAGAGAATCACCATGTGGTTTTAGCAGAGAATTGCCACTCGCCTTTGGCAGAGTGGTGACCCTACCCTCTCCACAGCTCTGGTGGAGAGGAGTACCATGCGCTTTTGGCGGAGTGCAGACCCCTGCAGCTCTGGCAGAAGAGGACCACGTGGCTTTGGGGTGCTCCCTTTGACCATGTGGCCTGGGAAGCAAGGGACACTTTGCCTGGAAAATGGGTACAAAGAACTCTTTCCAGTAGACCATGAGAAGGTGCCACATGGCTTTGGAGTAATTACCGATCCTGTCTGGATGGTGACACAACTGATGGTGCCAGCGGCCTGAAACACAGATGTGTGTTTACAGTTTTTGGCATCCCTCGGTGGGCCAAATATTGCACCCCCCTTGGACCTCTGTTTGGTAACATGAGGACAGTGAATCTATGGACCAACCTTGTCATATTTACTCTAGCTCTTGAATGCATAATTGAGAGGTTGGCAAACCTATAAATGCTTAGAGAGTAAAAATTTAGGCTTTGCAGGCTAGATGGTCTCTGTGGAAACTATTCAACTTTGTCATTTTATCATGAAAGCAGCCACAGACAGTATGTAAATGAATATGCATGACTATGTTTTAATAAAACTATATCTGCAGAAGCATCTAAGTAGGCCAGATTTGAATCACAACCATAGTTTGCCAACCCTTAACATAGCTGATATAGCAGTATCTGGAAGAATCCCCACTTTATCTCTGATCCATTCAATGAGAGCTCTTATGATTAGAAAAACCAAGAGGAAGATCCTGGAATTTTTCCTTCCTGCTAACATGGTAAATTTAAAAATTTGTAAACAATAATGCATCCCTAGGGGAATTGCAGAGATTAATGACAACATCAAAGATTCCAAAGCTGCAAGGTTGATGATTTCTAATACATTTCTGTTTAACTTATTTAGTTGGCCTGTACAGAAGGCAAATGTGACTTCCACTGCAGCTGCTAGCCTAGATATGGTATCTTTTTTTAAAAAAATATTATTATTGATGAGAGAGAAAGAGAGAAATAACTTATTGCATTCATTGGCTATTTCTTGTATGAGCCCTGACAGGGGATCAAACCCACAATTTTGTTGCACTGGGACAATGCTCTGAGTTACCTGGACAGGGCCTAAATATGGTATCTTTAGTAGAACAATTCAGCACATGGCCCTGAGTAAGCGCCTAATGATGTAGAAAATGCGATTTTTCTAATTACCAAATTGCAAGAACCTCTATAAACAGTTTGCTTTCACCTAGTAAGCACAATAGTATTATCTTCACATGTCATACCAAGGTAATGTCAATTCTCCTACCTGCCATAATCTAATTTGCAGAGATGTTGACTGTCTTGATATCTCAATACATCACACTGTTCCACTACTTTGATGAAACATGCCAATTGAACCTGATGAGCATCAGTGACAAGGATGCTGGATGCCCTAGAAACCTGAGTGCCGTAAGGTGGGAGGTAAACCGTATGAAATTCAGAGCCCAACAACCTGAAGTTTCTGGAGTTACAGTATTTTTAGCACGTTAAAATATTTCCTCCACATTGCAAGACGCCTACCATTAAAAAAGAGAGGCATCACTTGGTGGCATCAACAGTGTAAATATTATGGGGGCTGCAGGGATTTGTCCTCATGAGAAGAGTTGTGTGTTTGGGGATATAATTTGTCTTCCCTACACACAATGCTTCTTATAACGTTGCTATTCTTAACTTAAAAAAATGCATTACTTAGGCCCCAGTTGCTGAGCCAGCGAGGACTCAGCAACCTTCCCCTTGAGACCGCCCTCATTTCCTGACGCTCGGTCCCGCCTGCCCACCTTCTTCTGCCGCAGCCTTCCGCAGGCGTTTCCACTGAGGAAAAGGAATCGTATGGTATGTCTGCCATCCAGAACCTCCGTTCTTTTGACCCCTTTGCTGATGTGAGTGAGAGTGATGATCTGCTTCCTGCTGGCACGGAGGATTATATCCACATGGGAATTCGACAGAGAAATGGCAGGAAGAGCTTTACTGCTGTCCAAGGGATCACAGATGATTATTACAAAAAGAAACTAGTGATGGCGTTAAAGAATGAATTAGCCTGCAATGGTACTGTAATTGGGCATCTAGAATGTGGAGAAGTAATTCAGCTACAGGGTGACCAGTGCAAGAATGTATGCCAGTTCCTCGTAGAGACTGGACTGATTAAGGTTCATGGGTTTTAAGTGCTTTTGGCTCACTGAAGCTTAAGTGAGGATTTTCTTGCAATGAGTAGAATTTCCTTTCTGTCCTTTGTCATGAGTTTAAAAACCTCACAGCTTCTATAATGTAACTATTTGGGGTCTGCTTTTAACTTGGACTAGTGTAAAGCTGTCATGCAATAAACTGAAAAGAGACACACCAAAAAAATGCATCACTTGCTATCATGGTATTCTTTACAGTTTTGCCTCTGATCAATAAATTAATTTAATAGCAAAAAAAAAGCAATGATAGTTTCTTACACATGGAATTCACTGGCTTTGCCCTCAGAAGACTGATAAAATGGTGAAATTACCCACTGAAGACCTAGCTGTGATGCTAACTGGAGGCAACACACCAACACGAAACACACAACACACATGAAGGAAACCATAATGACAAAATACGGTAATGGATTCACACATAACACTGACCACTGCTATTTCACTCAGAAGATGAACCTAATGAAATGGTGGAATGGCCTATTGAGTACCCAATTATGATGCCAGTGGGAGATAACACACCAAAAAGATAGGATTCTTTCTTACAGGATGTAGTTTATGCTTTAAATTAACAGTCAATTTACATACTGTTTCTTCCATAATTGGGATATACAAGTTCAGTTATCAAGAGGTAGAAGAGAGGGCTACCTTCTCTATGCTATCTAATAACCCAGTCACAGAATTTTTGCTTTCCATCCACAACTCTGCTTATTTTTAGGCCTTTGCTCTCAGGGAGGGAATTCTTCCATCATGGGACATCCAAGGAAACTGAGACAGTCATCTGGCCATCTGGGACTCCTTATGTTACTAAACCATTAGAGAAAATAGGAAGTTATTGTACTGGCTGGGGGTGTTTACCCTGACTAACAAAAAGAAATTGGGCATTCTCACATAACAGGGGCAGAGAGAAAGTTCTGGTTATTTCCAGCTGTACTCAAACTGCCCCAAATTGAGTGACATAAAACAACCACTTATTATGCTCATGGATCCTGTGGGTTAGGAATTCAGAGAAGGCAGAATGGAGATGGTTTGTCTCTGTTCCATGGTGACTGGGGCCTCCGCCAGGAAACCTTGAATGGCTAAGGATGACTTGCATAACTGGTCTTGGAATCATCTGTGAGCTTCTTCACTCAGTGTCTGGTAACTGGGATGGAATGACTTAAAGGCTGAACACAGCTGGGTTGGTCAACCAGAGCACATACAGTCTTCAGTGTGGCTTGGGCTTCTCTCAGAGTGGTGAAAAGTTTCAAGAGGGAGCATCCAAGAAACTAAGGCAGAAGCTGTAAGACCACTTCCAGCCTCATAACAGAAGTTACGAAGCATTACTCCTGCCTATTCTATCGATTACAAGGGAGTTAGTAAGACCAACCCAGAATAAGAAAAGAAAATTAGACTTCACCTCTTGATGGAGAGGTGACAAGGCCACACTGAAGAAGAGCATATGAGAGAGGAAAAATTGTGTAGCTGTATTTGAAAAATACAAATGCCTGTGTTTGGATCCCAAGAGATTCTTCAAAATGCCTCTTAATACTTCCTTGTCCCATAGAAAAAGTTAATAAAAAACCTATGGCAACCAAAAAAAGGCTAGACTATTAAAGGTTCAGGAATATGTGTTTGGGTTACCCAACTAGGTAAATAATCTCAACCAGCTGAGGTCCTGGATGAAGGCAAAGGAGACACTGAACGCCAAACAAATTAAAACTACTAGCTATAGCCTCATTACCAGTTACTAAGATGGAGCAGCAGCTATGTCTTTCAAAGCAGACGCTGAGAGCATTTGTCAAGCAGGATATTTATTTAACACCCTTGGAGGAATGGGAAAGAAGTAAGATTGGGCAGAGGGAGAGTCAAAGTGCATTGCATCAGCCAATTCCACGGGGAAATATGGTTCTTAATCAGCCTTTTGGTGTTGTCCAACATTTGACTAAAGTCATTGGGCTTTTATGCCCATGTAGCATTAGCCACTGGAAGTGAGCTGCATCACAAAGTGTATGACCTTGGCCAAGGCAGCTTTCTGCAGGCAAACCCTGAAAGACCTGATGGCTGTAGGCTGTCTACTCACAGCATTCCCAGCAGCTGGAATGAATCTTTTCTTGAAAGGAATCTTCATGTTCATCTCCAGTTGCTCCACCATTGTGATGCTCAAATACACTTCTTCATCTATATTTGAAGAGAAGCTCCTCCAGCATTCCAGTGGGCTTCTCTCCCTGGGGGAAACAAAAGAAGAAGTTTTAGAAGCATGAATTACGACCTCTATTGCTGCAGCTGGTCTCAGGACTACAATGGATATTCATCATTTCCTTCCTCCACTGCTTGTTCATGATTCCCTCCCCTTACCTCTGCAGATCTATGTGGCTTACCCAGTAATGTGACCTTAATTGAAGGTCAGATTAAGGTTGAAGACCTTAATCTTCAACCTTGTGGAGTCTAAATTCTGGTCACCGTGCTCTTTTCAAAAAGGTTACTCTACTTGTCCATTTATTGCCACAACTAAACAAGAGAGTACCACAAGTTGCCCAAGTGGAGCACAGGTGCCACACATCTTTTTTCCTATCCTCACAGTGTGACTGCACTCTTTCTCCCTTCTGTTGATCAGGGTCAATTACCCCTGTGAGATGATAACTCCTCTTCTTTTTTTATTATTTTATTTTATTGATTATGCCATTACAGTTGTTCCATTCCCCCTTCATTCCCCTCCACCCTGCACCCCCCACCCCCACCATTCCCCCCTTTAGTCTATGACCATGTGTCTCAAGTTCTTTAGATTCTATATTTCCCATACTATTCTTGCCCCCCCATCTATTTCTACCTACCGTCTATGCTACTTATTTTCTGTACCTCCCCCCTTCTCCTCCTCCCACTCCCCTGTTGCTAACCCTCCATGAGATCTTCATTTCTATGTTTCTGCTCCTGATCTAGCTGTCCTTTTAGTTTGCTTTTGTTTTAGGTGTGGTTGTTAATAACTGTGAGTTTGCTGTCCTTTCACTGTTCATATTTTTTATCTTCTTTTTCTTAGATCAATCCCTCTAACATTTCATATAATAAGGGCTTGGTGATGATGAACTCCTTGAATTTGATCTTATCTGAGAAGCACTTTATCTGTCCTTGCATTCTAAATGAAAGCTTTGCTGGATAGAGTAATCTTGGTTGTAGGTCTTTGGATTTCATGACTTGGAGTACCTCTTTCTAGCCCCTTCTTGCCTGTAAGGTCTCTTTTGAGAAATCCGCTGACAGTCTGATGTGCAGTCTTTTGTAGGTGACTGTCCCCTTATCTCTTGCTGCTTCTAGGATTCTCTCCTTCATTTGAATCTTGGCTAATGTAATGATGATGTGCCTTGGTGTGTTTCTTCTTGGGTCCAAGTTCTTTGGGACTCTGTGAGCTTCCTGGATTTCCTGGAAGTCTATTTCCTTTGCCAGATTGGGGAAATTCTCCTTTATTATTTGTTCAAATAAGCTTTCAGTTCATGGCTGTTCCTCTTCCCCTTCTGGTACCCCTATAATTTGGATGTTGGAGCGTTTAAGATGTCCTGGAGATTCCTAAGCCTCTCCTCATGTTTTTGAATTCTTGTTTCTTCATTCTTTTCTGTTTGGTCATTTTTTTCTTCCTTCTGGTTCACTCCCTTGATTTGAGTCCCAGTTTCCTTTTCATTACTATTGGTTTCTTGTGCAATTCCCTTCATTTCAATTAGTTTCACCTTCATATGTTCCTCTAATTTGTGACTAAAACCAACCAGTTCTGTGAGCATCCTGATCACCAGTGTTTTGAACTGTGCATCTGAAAGTTTGGCTATTTCTTCATCACTTAGATTTATTGGCTCTGAGTTGTTCTTGAGCCCTGTTTTAATCTGTTCATGCCTGTTACATATGAGGAGCGGAGCCTTAGGTATTCACCAGGGTGGGGCTGCCCAGGTTACTGGTTTGTGAGGCTGTATGTGGGAGCGGGGTCAGAGCGAGGAAATGGTGGTTCCCTCTGCTGCTTCCCACCGCTGGGGCCTGCTCGGTCCCATCTCACTGACCACACCCTTGCTGGTCTATCTGCACACGAATGCAGAACCACAGTCAACCTGCTGCCCTGCACCCTCACTGGGTCTGCCGATTGCTCACTGGGTCACTCACTGGGCCCGCCTGTTGCAACCCCACACCTGGGATCTGCGCGCCTGAGTCCCTCTGACCGAGTTTTCCTGTGCCGCCATGCTCTACCAGCTGCTGGCTTCCCCCCTCTTACCAGTCAGGCTGAAGAATTTGTTGTTATCAGACTTCCAAAAAGTTCAATTTTCTGTGTTCTGGCTGTGTTTTCTATTGCTAATATTTTGTTGTCTCTAAACTTGGTTGTGCGAGAAAGCGCGGTGTCTTCACCTATGCCTCCATCTTAGTGGAATAAGAACTCCTCTCCTATAGCTGGCCCCTGATTACAAGAAACCCAAAGCATCTAGGCAGCTGGCATAGCTTGTAATTCAGTGGAACTCTTCCTGTGTCACCTGACAAAAATGCGTCCCTTTTCAATTGCAGGATCTCTAGCACTTCAGAAGCTCCAGTTTTAGAGACAGGAACACAGAGCCCTCGAGTGGGTCATTTGGAATGGTGGTAAGTGAATCACGCTTGCTTCATTCCTTGATCCACAGAACAATATATACTTCTTACTGGAGAGACAGCTCCATATAAAAAGGTCTTTGATTCAATGTAAATAATGCATCATGGCAGATGATGACCCATTCTCATAGAGTATTGACTCTAAGTTGGTGCTTTAAATGTACTTTCTGCAAGCTATTCCATTGCCCTACAAGGCACAGCTTCTGAGTTTTGCAACACATAATATAATTGATATCATTGTCATGGTGACCAGTGTTATGACACAATACTTAATGTATGCAAGGCTTTCCAAATTTTTGACATTTCTGGGCCACACTGAAAGAAGAAGAGTTGTCTTGGGCCACACATTAAATACATTGTAACACACAATCACAAAAAATCTCACAGTTTTAAGT